ACTGCCGCCACTGCGGACGCATCGCCTGCGGCTCGTGCTCCTCCTCCCTCACTCGCTCGCCTCTAGTACTACAGTGTAAGATGGCGCTGAGTGTCAATCAGGCTCGTGCTCCTCGCACCGGCTCGCCCTCCCAAAGTTTGGAGTCTCGAAGCCGGCGCGTGTCTGCACCGAGTGCGTCGTCGCGCTCTCATCGCCCGGCACGCCTCCGCCGCCCGGCACGCCGGCCTCCGACGCTGCCTCTGAAGCGCCGTCGTCGGTCGCATTGATGCCCCCCCCTCTGACTGCTGTGCACAGCGCCTCTTCACACCTCTAAGCTGTGGGCAGGTCGCGTCCACGCCGCCCGGCGTGCGCGCCTTCGCCGCGCCCGTCCCCGACCCGTCCTCGACCCGCGCCAACCCGTTCGACGCAAACGCGGGTCCGAACCCCTTCGCCGCGGACGCGGCCTCGCCGGTGACGGAGGCGCTGGCCGAGCGAGCCGTCGTGGTCACGCCGCCTCGCGCCCAAGGCCTCGCCGCGGCGTGGAGCTCGCCTGACCCGGACACGCCTCTCATCAACCCGTTCGATGACGACTTTGGCCCGCCGCCGGGGGGTGTCGCGGAGCCGGAGGGCGGCACCAACGGGAACGGGAACCCTTTTGGGTAAAGTCAAAAGTTCTCTAGGTACATTTCTCCACACTCACACGCCTGGCTGTCCCCGTGAGCTACGCTCACGGCTCACGCATATCGGGCTTGCCTCCTACTTTAAACCGGAGCCTCCCCCTCCCGCTCGGTCTGTTATCTCCTTACTTTATCACGAGACGGCGTCGCCCACCGTCCAAGGACCGGCACGCCCCCCTCTTTGGGCCATTCCCTTGTCCAAAGTTCGAGTGATAGCCAAAGATACACTTGACTATACATTTCAAAGATACACCTTTATAACATCCCACCGGTGTATCTTCGAAGTGTATCTTCGAGTGTATCTTGAGTGTATCTCAGCGCCGGGCGCCCCAGGACCAGTTGCAGAGGACGCAGGTGGCCGGGTCCCACGAGTGCTGGCACTGGCCTGGCTGGGGCTCACCCACAGGGCCCACAGGGATGACTGGCTCCGAGGGCAAGGGGTGGTAGCCCATGGGGAGAGGGACTACCGGCACACACGGCACACCGGGACCCGTGAGAGGAGACTGTGGAGGCTGCGCCGGCGCGGGCGTGAGCGGCGGCCTCTGCGGCCGCCTGGCCTGCTTGCGCGCCTCCTTGGCCGCCCGCTCTACCGCCATATCCTACAGCCCAGGGAAGGAGGACTGAGCGCAGCCAGGATGGGTGCGGGCTCAGGAGCGCACCTCTGGGCGGCGGCGAGGCTTGCGAGCTGCAGGCGGCGGCAGCTCCGACCCGTACTCGTGGTAGTAGGCCAGCTTGGCGGCCGCCTCCTCGGCTGTCGCGCTGTTCGAGCCGGGCAGGTGGCGCTGAAACTTCTCGCCGACCGGCTTGAACTTGGCGCAAAAGGGGTTGTTGCGCTTCTTGCTGCCGCCTTGCACGATAACGTTCTCGAGCGACACCGGTGGCAGTGCCACCCAGGAGTGGTCGGGCGGTCTCCCGTCATGAAAGAGCCACCATGTGATCCGTATGATGGTTCCTGACAACCGCCTCAGTCAACTTTCGTCACAGTTCCCGCTCTGAGAGGAGCTGCGGGTCAGTTCGACAGCTGGAGCTGTGTCGCCGGCGTGCGGCGGCCTGCCTCCGGAGGTGCCTCTGAGGTGGACATTTTTTGGTCACCGTGAGAGAACGCGTTCGAATTTTAACTCCGGAACTTCAACTCTGCACGCGCACCGGCCAGGGCTACAATAGTGCCAGTGAGGCGGAGAGTGAGGCGGAGGTGAGGTGAGGCGGAGGCGCGAGTCGGAAGGCCGCGACCGTCAAGTGGTCCCGTCCTCATTTTCCTACAATCGCTGTGAACCCAGCCACGTACGGAGAATGCTCCGAAACCGAAAATTTGGGAGCGCTTAGCGCGTAGGACCGTAGGTGGAGGGCGGCTCGTTGTGCGAGTATATGGGCCACGATGTCTCAAATATGAGGGGTTTTGACTCCTACCGGCTCCTGACGCTATCCCTGGCAGCTCTAATGACCAGGATCAGTAGTGTTGTGATAGAGGTTGCCCATACTAGCGCAGGAGCTGCCACACTCGCCCGGACCGTCCCCTTCTGGGGCCGGTTCCGCAGCCCGCGAGAGCCGACAGCGGGGCCGTGCCGCGGGTGCCTACTGCCGAGTGCCACACACACTGCGCCGTCCCGCCATCACCTACAGGCTGTCTTGAGTGATGGCTGGGATGTCCAAACGCCACCATCTTGGCTCTTGCGACCTCAAACCCGCGAGCTGTATGGGTGGTCCTGACGTCGACAGACGCCCGATGACCACGGTGAAGCTGAGCCGTAACGAGTCGACAAGTCTCGTCTGAGCCCGTGGCGGTCGCCGGCTGAGTCGCCGTGCACGGGCCGGTACCTCAGGCGTCACCTCCGCAGCCTCAGGTCTCAAACTCCACCACCTCCGCCGGGACACCTTCGGTGGCACGCTCGGCGGCGACTTTGTGGCAGCCCCACAGCGAGCGCGGCATCGAGCCTACTCGGTCTGGTCGGTCGGCCGCACTCCCTGGGTGCCAGGGAGTGCGGCCGACACGCGAGCGGTGCTTCCTGGCGGCGCGCGCCGGCTGTGGGGCTGCCACAAACTCAAAACACGCTTTTTGGGACATTTTCGACGCTTTTGGCCCATATACTCGCACAACAAGCCGGGCGTGGGCCCGCGCCCCGCGCGGGGCAGACGTGCGCAGATACAAGGAAAAATCGCCTCCACAAAAGTCAAAACTGTATACGGCTCTCTAACGTACGTTGGAAACTCTGTGGAAAGACGGGCGAGTCAGAGCCTCCGCCTTCACTGCTTCCCTCCCCTGCTCCCCTGGCGCTGTGCGAGCGCCTCTAGCACTCCCCACCGGAGAGCAGCTCCGCCTGTGCAGCGAGGAGGCGCTGCATCTCCGAGCTCACACCCGCGAGCAGCGAATCGAGCCTGATCAATCGATAATCCACATGATCAATCATTATTTAGTTAGCTCACACCCCCCCTCTCGAGCAGCGACCCGACAGCCTGTCCGGAGGCAGCGCAGTTCCAGCGTCCGAGGCGGCACGCGCCGCACGCTCGAGCCGCAACGCCGCCTCCTGCGCCGCGCGGGCGCCCACGCACGCGCACGCGCCCTTGAGCGAGTGTGCCTGTCAACAGAAGTCCGAGACTCAACAAAAAGAAAGCGGTCAACGCAGCGCGCCCTTGGGCGAGTGCGCGCCTGCTCATACACCTCTCGCAAACTGCCTACGGGGGGAAAGCTCCGAGAAGGTTCCGAGAAGGTTCGCGCGGCTCGTCCTCCTCCTCCGCTGCTTGCTGCCTCGCGCGGCGGCGGCGGAGAGCTGCTGCAGCGAGGCGCCGCCGGGCGACGGGCCGGCGGTCTCCATCCGATAGAAGCCCTCCACTGCCACGCGCGCGCTCGCCTACTCTCAGCGGCACTCTCGGCTTTCCTCCGCTCCTCTCCGAGCCCCCTCCGCAGCTAGACGGGCGCGGGCTCGCCTCGCTTCCGCCGAGCATCGCCGCCACCGCGCCCAAATCGAGCACCGGGAGAGGGACGCCTACCCTCGCACAACCTCGGCGCGCCTCGGGCGGTCTCCGCTCGCCGTAAGGATCGGGGCACGCGGGGGAGGAGGCGCCTGGCGCGGCTGACGGCGAAGCGCCGCCGCCGGAGGGCAGCGGCCTGCGAGGAAGGTTCCGAGAAGGCTCCGAGAAGGCTCCGACAGCTCGCGGCCGCCGGACGGCAGCGGCCTCTGCGGCGCCGGGCCCGCGCCTCTAGGAAGTGTCTAGGAAGTGTCTAGGAGGTGTCTAGGAGGTGTCTAGGAAGTGCCACACCTCCTCCCCTGCCCTTGCTGGAGCGCGTCCACGAGCTTCGGCAGCGAGACCGGCTTGCAGAGTACGCCTGACCTCTGGCGCGACGGCGGTGAGGGGCGCGGGTTCACAGCCCGGGCGGCGAGAGATCGGCGTGCAGAGCTCGCCGTTCATGCCGGCGGAGAGACAGTCGCGCTGGCACGCCGCGTCGGAGCCGTTAGCGGAGAGCGCGATGATGCGCACGGGCGGCGCCTTAACGGAGGGGCCATGACTCTCAGCCACTCTTCGTAGTCTCGGGGCGGTGATGCGTACGGGCGGCGCCGGCACGCGAGTCGCTTCCCACCGCCGGATCCTGTTCATGGAGAGGTTAGCCGAGGTTAGCCGAGGTTAGCCGAGATTAGCCGAGGTTAGCCGGATCCTGCTCATGGAGAGCAGCCGGTGACTCGTCATCATTCTTGGGCAACGTGCCGCCTCCAGACCCGCGGGTACCGGTATGTTGGAGCAATACTAAGAGAGTGTCTAACCACGGTGCCTGCGCGTGCACTCGATCCCGTCCATGAAGGGCATCAGCACGTCCATCAGCACCTACTCTCCGGCCCAATCTCGGGTCATCTCGGGTCATCTCGGGTCATCTCGGGTCATCTCCCCCCCCTCAGCACGTCCATGAGCACCAAAGCGATGTCGGGCGCGTCGGGAGACGTGATCAAGTCGAGCGCCTAACACCTCGGGTCAACCTCGGCTGGACCTCGGCTGATCTCGGGCGATCTCGTCGGGCGAAAGGAAGAAGCGCCTCGACTCCGTTCGCCGCCAGCAGCACCTCGCTGACGCCTAGTGTGCAGCCGCTCGCTGACGCCAGCCAACAACATCGCTAGTCGAGGTCTAGGGCCGCAGCTCCTTGGGTAATCTCGGGTAATCTCGGGTGATCTCGGCTAATCTCGGCTAATCTCGTGCCGGCGGCGCGCAGCAGCTCCTCGGTCAGCTGGAGGATGAAGACGTTGTCCTCGGCGATGAGGACGGCGCCAGCGACCGGCGCCCGCGCCTCGCGCCGCACCGCGCTTGGCGAGGCGGCGTGCGAGGCGGGAAGCGTGGTTGGCTCGTACGGCAGGTCAACCTGATGAAAACGTTCATTAGTTCATTAGTTCATTAATTACGCGTGGTTGGCTCGTACAGCAAGTCGACCTGTTCACGGCCAGAAGTGTGAAGAGACGCTGTCCGCAGCGTGCAGTTGGCTCGTGCGGACAGGTCGACCCAGAAGACAGCGCCGCTGCCCGCTTGAAGGTTGGGCTGGTAGCCGACGGAACCGCCGAGGGCGGCGGCGAGCTGCTGCACGTGGTAGAGGCCGAGGCCTGTTTAATTAGTCAATTAGTTACTTAATTAATTAATTAAAAGCTGTTGCACGTGGTAGAGGCCGAGGCCTGTTTAATTAGTCAATTAGTTACTTAATTAATTAATTAAAAGCTGCTGCACGTGGTAGAGGCCGAGGCCTGTTTAATTAGTCAATTAGTTACTTAATTAGTTAATTAAGAGCTGCTGCACGTGGTAGAGGCCGAGGCCAGTGCCGGACTGCCAGCGCGACGCCTGCCGGAAGGGCTGCCAGAGCTGCTTCTCGACGGCGGAGGAGAGGCCGATGCCCGTGTCGGCGACGAGGAGCCGCAGCCGGCCTTGCACGAGGTGCGCCGAGAGGGAGACGAGGCCTTGGCGAGTCGACTTGAAGGCGTTGGAGGCGAAGTTGATGAAGATCATGAAGACCCAAGACCCGTCGGTGAGCACTGCCTCTGCGACCTCGTCGCCCACGCTGTACTCGACGCGCACCTCGTCCCGGTGCGGCATGTAGCGGACCAGGGCGGGCAGCTTCCGCTGCACGATCTCCCGCAGCGAGACGGGGCCTTAAATCAATTAACAATTCTTTATGCATTTAATTATTCGGTTCTGTATCTCCCGCAGCGAGACGGGGCCTTAAATCAATTAACAATTCTTTATGCATTTAATTATTCGGTTCTGTATCTCCCGCAGCGAGACGGGGCCTTAAATCAATTAACAATTCTTTATGTATTTAATTATTCGGTTCTGTATCTCCCGCAGCGAGACGGGGCCTTAAATCAATTAACAATTCTTTATGTATTTAATTATTCGGTTCTGTATCTCCCGCAGCGAGACGGGGCCCCGCTCGGGCGTCAGCCTCTCCCCGTGCTGCAGCTTGCCCACGTCGACCGCCTTGCGCTTGAGCGCGCTCATCACCTCGAGGGCGGCCTGCATGCCCGACAGCAGGGGCAGCACCCGGGCGGGCACCGGAGATGTGCCCTCGGGCTTGGCCTCTGCGCGCATCGCCTCTTCGATCTGCTGCGTCGCCATCTGCAGCGCGGAGATCGGCGTGCCAAAGTCATGCGACAGCGCGGCGATGTACCGCTCCTGCGCCCGGCCCTGCGCCTCTGCCTCACGCGAGGTGCGGTCGAGGGAGTGGAAGACGGCGACCGAGGCCGCGAGGTCGAGCAGCCAGAGGGAGAGCAGCGCCGTGTTGGACGGCCACGGAGGCAGCAGCGCGAAGAGGAGGCCGGGCGGACCGATCGAGCCGAGGATCATGCCGTAGAACGCTGGGCGCGGCATCAGGATGACCGACGAGAGGAAGGGCAGCGTCATCGTCATGACGAGGTAGAAGCCAAACGCGTCAAACCAGACCGCCGCGTACGCCTCCACGCTCGTGCTCCCCGCCACGAGCCTCTCGTGCTCGAGCCAGGTGCAGTAGACTTCCGAGTAGGGCCCGACCGTCGCCGCCGTCCAGAGAGACGCTACGCGGAGGGTCCTGGAGCAGGTCGTCTTTGCGAGGTGGGCGAAAATCACGAGAGGGATGAGGAGCAGCCGCGCGTTGGCGGAGATGTCAAACTCCGCTCCATGCTGCACGCTGTGCCGCGCAATCGCGCAGATGCAGATAGCGATTATTACGGCGCCTCCCTCCCACAGTCTCGCCGCCGCACCAGTAACGTCGTGGCTGACCCGCTTCGAGGCAGACATGCTTATTCGACGGTTAATGAAATAAAAAAGAATTTAAAGAAGCAACTCTCTCTCACAGCAGACAGGCTCGACACAGGTGCGAACTGGCGCGTGCTAGTACTATCACCGGCACACCACCGGAGCCGCCTAAGCGACTCCGTTAAGAACGGCAATGCACTTAGCTCCGTGCACAATGCCGCTGTCCCCGCACGCCAGCTCGTTCACCGTCTGCCACGCCACGGCGGTGTGGAGAACGACAGACAAGCGCTGCATCTGCAGCCCGTGCCAGTTCTTGGTGGTCACATAAAAAAGAATTTTACAACGAAACTCCCTCGCACGACACTGGGCACAGGACTGGGCACGGGACTGGCTCGCACTGGCACTAACACAGGTACACCACGGGAGCCGCCTAAGCGACTCCTGCGAGGGTGGCGAGGCACTTAGCTCCGTGCACCCGCCCACCCCCGCCACAGGCAAGCTCATTCACAATCTGCTCTGCGATTGCCGTGTGAAGAACGACTGAGATGCGCTGCTTCTGCAGCCCCAGCCAGGCCCGGACTGGACACCAACGCGGTATGGATGGACGCGAGACAGATGATGACGACACGCTCGAGCGACACACAGACACAAAAGCTCGCAGGACACACAGCCAGGTTGGCTGCCACACACCCTGAGTGGACGTCCACATCACTCAAGGTCACGTTCCCCCTGCCGCGCCCCCCAGCACCCGCGGTGCCAAGGGACAAACAACAGCAAACAAACACAGACAGGCGACACCGCGTACCCCGAGGGCCCCGCTCGTTCCCTCGCATAGCGGCCACTCTTCGGATCGCTGGTCGAACGACCCGCGGGATGCCCCGCGCGCCTGACCCAGGCGCGGAAAACGAATCTGCGAGGCGAGGCCGCTCACGCGGCCCGATGGGGAGGAGTGGGGCGGACTACGGGGATCGGCTCCTTACACAGCCCTTCCTTGCAGCCGCCGGCTGCACCCCGGGATGAACCCGGACCGATCCCATTGTTCAGCACCGCGACGGCGAGCCGCCGCGGGCCCACAGAAGGGCTGGGAGCCGCGGCACTAGACCGCGCCGCCAGCGGGGCGAGAGCACCAGCCCACAACCTGCCGACATGGCAGTTGCGATGGCGCTTTCACAACACACACAGCGTAGGTAGGTAGGTAGAAAGGTGAAGAACAGCCAGGCTCGGACACGCGCAGACCCCTATCTGGTAGGAGCCGGAACCCAGTGCCTTCTCACATTCCACTCCTCGACACCCGCCCAATGGCGAGCTCGTTCCTCGCCTCTGCCCACGAGCGCGCCTTGGACGCCGCCGCGCTAAGCGCCTCATCGCCACCGCCACCGCTCCAGCTCCCAGCGGACCTCATCCGCCTCGTCGCGTGCGCCTGCCGCGGGCCCGAGGCTCTGCGCTGGTGCGCCGTCTGCCGCGAGCACCACGCCTGCCGGCCGCCGCTTCGCTTTCTCATAATCGACGACTATCCCGCCATCGAGATGCACTCGGGGCCGGCACGCGTTGCGCTCGCCTTCAACCGCAGTAGATTGCCGCGCCCGAATGCCGATTGGGTCGAGGCGGCGTCTTGCGAGGCGTCTGGCCGGGCGACCGAGTCTTCGCTGAGCGGGATGTCCGCAGTGATGGCGTGCGAAGGCGCAGGTGGCAACGCCGTTTCCGTCCTTTGCTTCGTTCGAGCCGTGTAGGGAGCCGTTCCGGGACTCTTCCCGCAGGCGGCGACGCGCTGCGACTCCATCTCCGGCCAGCGGACGGGCGCGCGTGCTCGGGCGGATGCAGGGACGTGTCCGCGACATGACCACTGCACGTCGTCGACACCTGCGCCACATAGGTGTGTGCATTGCCTGGTCGGTCGGATGGGCGCGGTCCACGCGTGCGAGGTGACGCACCTCTCGCTGCAAACCTTCAACAACCTCGAGGAGGGCGTGCAGGCGCCGCCTGGGCCCATTCCTAGAGGACGAGCCTGGAACGAGTCGTTCAGCGGCGAGGCCGAGTCTGCAGGCCGTCTCGACGCGGCACGGGGCTTTGCTGACCTCCTTGCGGGTGGTCGAGGTGCTGCACGCCGAGGTGGCGCTGCACGGGTGCGGAGGCATGCTCCAGCAGGCAAACTCCGCCTCGCTCTCCCACACGCCACTGACTGGCGAAGACTCACCTCGAGACTTGCTCCTCGGCAGGCGGACAGCTTAATTGTTTAATTAATCAATTTTTAATTTAGACCTGCTCCTCGGCAGGCGGACAGGTTTGGCGTGTGCAATGAAGTGTGCAGTGAAGGCCACGTCGCCCAGCCGGGGGGGGGCTGCCTCGTCCACGACATGTCCACGACACTGCCTGCGACGCGTCCGTAGGCTCCTTCCGGGCGATGGCCCGTCGGCGCCTCCTCGAGAACACCGCCGCCACCGTGCGCACGCTCAGCTTGCTCGACACGACGCCGAGCCTGAACGTGCACGCGGACTTAGTGCCGCTGCTGCGCCTGCTCGGGCCTCGGCTGCACTACCTCTCCCTCCTCGCCGTCCCTTGCCTCGCGCACGCGAGCAGAGGCGAGTGCCACCTCGAGACCTCGCTAGGGCCGGAGCCTTCCCTCGACCTTCTCGGAAGCTTCTCGGAGCCGTCCTCCAACAGGCGTCTGCTACCTCGAGCCGCGGGAGGAGTCGTTGCGGCCGGCGGACGGGCTCGACGCCGACCTGAGCAGCTACGAGGCGGAGATGGAGACCGAGATGCTGCGCAACGCCGCGGACGGCCTCTGCATCGCCCTCCTCGAGCCGGCGAGGGCGCTCGCGCACGCGGCCGACGCAGGGGCGCCGCCGGTCCACGCGCGGGGTGTCGTCGACCTCGCCGCCGTGGCCGCGCGCGGTGCGAGGGTAAGGGCGGCGCTCGCCGAGCCGCACTGGCTGAGGTGAGAGCTCTGGGCGGGCGCGGGGCCCCCGGAGGCACCGTGCGCCGCGCAGCAGGGCGCGGAAACGGGGCTCCGGCTCTATTAGTCTCTATTAGCACCAACTTCCCGAGTGATCACGGTTGATCAGAGGGCAGATTTGGAGAGATCTCGAAGAGTACACACAGATAGACCCTCCCATCATCAGAAACTCCAACCTGATCGGTCGTACTGACCGCCGACAGATCACTCCAGACAGGCCGATGGCCGACGAGCGACGTCTGCTCTCTGCACGCGGCCGCTTTTTTCGAGTTTTGTTGTATTCTTTGTGCGGCGGAGAACTCGTTTTTCTTCTTTTTCAGAACTCCGCCGTGAGAGCCACAGAGGCAGCTGCACAGAGGAGAGTGTGAGTGTGTGTGACGAGGGCGGCCTCGAGAATGCCCTCTCGGCAGGCCTCCTTTGACCAGGGCAACGGCAAGGAGGCGGTCCTGCAGGCGTCGCTCGACTCGGTCGTCGGGCTGCTCAAGGCGTCCGAGGCGCAGAGCGAGCGGCTCGCGCGCGCGTTTGGCGAGGCGAGGGCGGAGCACCAGGCGGAGATTGGGGCGTGGGCCGCCTCGCTCGCCGAGGCGGAGGCCGCCGCCGCCGCCGACGCGCGAGCGCTCTCCGCCGCGGTGAGCGCTCGTGCCGCGTCCGAGGCGGAGTGTGCCTCTGCGGTGGAGGCGCTCGGCGTGGCGGAGTCGCGGGCGGCTGCGGCGGAGGCGGCCGAGGCGGAGGCGGCGGCGGCGGCGGCGGCGGCGGTCGAGTCCTCCAGCCAGGCGGCTGCAGAGGCGGCCGCTCTGACTCGGGCTGCTGCCGAGGCGAGGCGGGCGGTCGAGGCGGCGGAGGCGGAGTCGGAGTCGGCGGCGGCGAGGGCGGCGGCGGCGGACGCAAGCGGCGCGGAGCTGGCGAGCGAGGCGGAGCAGCTGCGCCAGCGGGCGGCGGCGGCGGAGGAGGCGCGGGCTGCCGACGTGGCTGCGCAGGAGGAGTTGCAGCGGCGGGCCGGCACTGTGTTTGAAAGGAGCTAACCTCATGAGTGCAGTGAGTTGCAGGAGGAGTCGCGCCGGCTGGTCGGCGCGGAGCGGCAGCGGGTGGCGGGGATGATCTACAAGGAGGCGCTGCAGGCGAGGACCCTCGGGGAGGGGTGCAGGGGCCAGGAACCTTCCAGGGAACCTTCCAGGAACCTTCTAGGCGAGGACCCTCGAGGAGCAGGCGGCGCAGCTCGAGACGCTGACCGCCCAGCTGGGCGAGGCGCAGGCGGCGGCGGCGGGGCGGGACGAGGCGATCGCGCAGCGGCGAGCCCCGAGCCTGGCGGCTGCCGGCGTGAACATGTGCATGCACATGTCTGCGACGTGTCCAGTCTGTTGCAGGCGAGCGATGGAGGAGAGCTTGGCGGCGCTGTCGGAGAGCCGGGCGAGAGACATGGACAAGATTCTCGCCCTCGACGAGCTGCTCGGCGAGGGCCACACCTCTCGGCTCTCTCTCTCAGCTGTTCTCGGCTGTCTCTCGGCTGTCTCTCAGCCGTTCTCGGCTGTCTCTCGGCTGTCTCTCGGCTGTCTCTCGGCTGTCTCTCGGCTGTCTCTCGGCTGTCTCTGGGCTGTCTCTCGGCTGCCTCTCGGCTGCCTCTCGGCTGCCCCTCGGCTGTCTCTCGGCGAGCAGCTCGGTGAGGGTCAGACGGGCTACACCCCTCGTGGCACAGCCATCCTCTGTCAGCCAGCCTCCTCCTCGCAGGCGAGGAGCAGCAGCGGGCGCAGGAGGCGGCAGCCACGATTGGCAGCTGTCACGAGGCGCTGGACGAGAAGGTGCGAGCAGCGCCCTCTTCACACCTCTCTGCTGTGTACAGGCAGCCTGCAGGAGGCGCTCGTCGCGAGGGTGGCGTGCGAGGCGGCGGTGCCGCGCCCGCTTGTGAACAGCGTCTCTCCACAGGTCCGGAGCTGTGAACAGGTGGCGCGCGAGGCGGCGGCAGAGGAGCGGGCGCGCCGCGCCGAGGCGGAGTACGAGGCCCTCCGCTCCCAGTTCCGCGAGGAGCGGCTGCAGCCTCCCCCCTCCCCCCCTCCCGCCCCCCCCCTTCTCCCTCTCCCTCTCCCTCCCTCCCTCCCCTCCGAGCGAGCCGCCCCTCTTCACACGCGCAGCTGCGAAGTCAGGTGCGGCTGCAGCTCTCCCGCACGTCGCGCGAGTCGGAGAGGCTGTCGGAGGAGCGGGCGCAGTCGGACGCGCTGCGACGCTCCGCCGCGGCCGCCAACCCGACCGCGGCAGTGCAGACAGAGTGGATTTCCATGATCTTGCCGCTGCCCACGCCTCAGAAGAAGTGATTCCTGTGTGATCGCTCGAGAGGGCCAGGGCGTAATAATAAGAGACCGCAGCTGGGTTGTTGATGTTGTGGGGCTGTCGGAGCTGGTGTGCGGCGCCTGGGTATTTTGGCTATAACTACACTGGCACTGCACAGTGCACACACACTATCACTAAGAGGTAAATAATCCACAGGCTATTTCGGGCGGTCCCACCCGGCACCCCCCCAGGCTAAGGCCTACTGTAAGGCTAAGCTCTTCGCTGGGGCGCACTGGGGGGAAGGAGGCCCCGGCCAGCGGCCAGCCTTGAGGGAGTCGCGGACGGCGGAGGAGGAGTGATAACGGAGGCAACGCACCAGGGACAGTAGGGGCAACCTCTGGAGTTCCAAGATCTCTGCCGTCGGCTGTCTAATAAATAGATGATGCGGACCCCTCTCCTCAAGGTAGAAAGATGGGTAGTGGGAGGCAAGCAGGAGGCTTCGGCGTCGTCAGTGGTGAGATCCTCCCGTCAGGCCGCCTCCTCTTGATCGCAGCGCACGACAAAGGTGAGCCCGTCGTGGGAAAACGTGGCCACAAAGAGCGAGTCGCCGAGGGCCAGGTTGGGGGTCGTCTCGAGCGGCGCGACGACGCAAGCAGGGTGGGGAGGGGAGGGCGATCCCCCTGGCGGTGGCGGCGGCGGCAGAGACGAGGGCGAGGACGACGGTGGCGGCGGCTGTGGTGAGGGCGGTGGCGGCGAGGGTGGTGGCGGCGGCGAGGGTGGCGGTGGCGACGCGGCTGTCGGAGGGGAGGGCGCGGCTTGGCGGTCGCCCGCCCAGATCAGGTCCCTGTCGTGCCCGCAGCCTGTGCCGCGAGCGCAGTCGGCGAGAAGCTCGGCGGCGGAGCAAAGCCGTGCTTGTGCACCGGCGCAGATGGCCTCCGCCTCGGCCAGGCTCTTGCTGTGGTGGCAGCGGTCCATCCCAGGCCCGTCGGACTCTGTCCACGGGCAGCTGTCGCTTCGCTGCCTCCACCCTCCAATTGCGGTGTCGGAGCAGCAGCGCACCTCGTGCAGCTCGGCCGGGTCCGCCCACCGCGGGCTCTCGGGGCAGATGCCGGCCCGGCCGCACTCGAGCCTTGCAGGGCCAGACAGGGGCGAGGGCGATTGCGACGGCGGCGACGGCGGCGGCGGCGGCGGCGGCGGCGGCGGTGACGGTGATGGCGAGGGTGAGGGTGAGGGTGACGGCGAAGGCGCCGGCGCCGGCGAGGGTGGCGGCGACGATGAGGCCGGTGGGGGCGAGGCGTCGCCCTCCCCAGGCGGCGGCCCGGGGGCTGCGACCTCCCCTAGCGATCGGAGCACCGCGCCGGTGGCGGCCACCTCTCCGCACATGGTTGCGGTGGCGATGGCGACCCAAGAGCCAGAGTAGTAGTCGTTCACGGGCATGCCCTGGATCTTGACCCCAAGGTCGTCCAGCGCGGCCTGTTGCAGGCTCGGGTCGAGCCCGCCCGCGGGTACGAGCAGCGACGTCGTAACCGGCCCGGCCATGAAGCCGATCCACTGCCAGTCGGAGAGGACGGAGCTGATCCAGCAGCCGCTGCTCAGCTGGTAGTCCGTCCTCACCGCCTCCTCGACCTCGGCCGCCATCGGGCGGAGGAAGGAGGCGGCCTCCGCGCTGCCGTACCAGAGAGCGTCCACGCCGACGCGCCACGCAGTCCGAGACGCCTCGGCGCCAAACTCTGCCGGCTCGGTGCCGCTCCCGCCGCAGCCGGGCGTCCCCGGCGCCCCCACGTCGTCGTTGCCGTCTGCCGGAACCCACCAGTTCGGCACGAGCCCGCTCGCGTCGCACTGCGCCTCGCGAAGCAGCGCGTGGCTCGTCTCGACGAGCGAGTCCCAGACGGGCGCGAGGTCGGCCCCCTCCGAGGCGGTGGCGCCGTAGCTCGCCGCGAAGGAGAGCATGTAGTCGCGAAAGGCGCGGTAGTGGCCCGGCGCGTGATAGCTGGGGTTGTTGCAGTCCCATCCTCCCCAGCACGAGCCGAGCTTGAGCATGCGCAGGGGGCGGCCGTTGCTGGACAGGAGGGTCGGGTGGTCGACCGAGAGGTGCTGCAGGAAAGCGCGGCAGCTCTGGTACGCCCACTGTGCAACCTCGCCCCACCAGGGCGGGCGCGGGGCCTCACTCTGCGTCGCCAGCACGAGCAGAAGCATGCCGAGGATCGCGTCCTCGTCTCCGTCGGGCGCTGAGCCGGTGCCAACCTCCTGCGTGACCGCGTCGTCAAACTTCCATGACGGGAGGCACTCGTGCGACTCGTCCTCGCCGCAGAAGTGGCTCTCCTGGCACGAGTCGGAGACAGTCCGCTCGCACATCAGCCGCCAGCCTCGGAAGAGCTCGTACGCCTCCGCCACCACCGTCACCCTCGCGGCGTGCTCTGCCGGCAGCGCCGCCGCGAGCGTGCCCGCCAGGAATAGCCCGTATCCCTGCCCCTCGGAGACCACCCCGCCCGCCGCGCCGCCCGCGCTGTGGACGACACGAGCCGTCCGCGATCCGTCGACGTAGAGCTCGAGCGTGGTCAGCGTCGCCACAAAGTCCG